TGACGCTAAACAACCCATTATAAATATCCCGCCGCTCATCAGTACCATAGGTCAGATGTAGATACTTCTAAATTCATCCCACTGAGCAATGTTAGATCATTTTTTTTAAACAACAACAGATTTAACAGAGCTCGGAACCAAACATGTTTTTCATTACCTTCACACAATAACACAGATTCCCCATAATAAAGCAGTCCCTACCATACTACGGTACTCCACTCGAACAAAAGAAGAACCACCGTCGTCATAAGGCTGCCTCTTCCATAGGACTGTCAACTATACCCCAGATGGTGACTAGCCACCATCTTGCTAAGACCCGTGTCAGGGCATCGTTCCTGGCAAATATATGATCAGCATTATAGATTTGAAGGTAATCAGGAGAAGCCCTCACAGATAATAATGTTTCAACTAATATCAAAATTGCTTCATTAAGAATGGCAAACTAAGACATACTCAGTCCAGCTTTGTAGTTAAACCATAGATGCATTTCTCTTATTATTTTAGATAGATCAGTATCATAAAGTTCACAAACCCAATTAGAATGAAGCCATTTAGAAGTTGCATTATCAAATGATCAGATTTGAAGAGCTGGAGCAAATCAGATGAGACACGCAATAATTATCTCATGAAAAACAATATTATTTTTCCTAATTTCTTCTATAAAAAAGGTTAACTGGGATCTATGCAGGCCAAAGTAAATACAAATATTTCTATAAAAAAGTTGCCAGCTTGAAGGTTTAAGTAAGAAGGTAAGAAAGCTTGTAATTACGTAAGTTTTATGTATGACTTGGGTATATACAATTTTATTTTTTACAATTGTGTTGAGTGAACACTTGTTAAGGGAACATGCAAGTACATTATCTAGATTTAACTTAGTTTACCCTATTAAAGTCAGTTACTGAGATTTATTCCTGATCGAAAGAGATATTCTCCATATATTTCACAGAAACCCATCCGAATAATAAAATGAAGAGAATAAAACGCAACCTAAAATCATAACGAGGCTTCCAGTACTAAAAGTCAAAACTTTTCATTCATTTCTCCTAATTCATCAGCCATTAAAGATGGATGTCGATAAAACTTGTTATATTTTAATCAAGGTGAAGAACTTGATCAGTCATATGGCGACTGTGGAAAGAGAAGTATTCCGATTCGTTTCTCAGCAACATCAAGGAACCCTCTTCTTGGAACAAAATCAAGTTAAATTATGGAAATATTACTATACAGTCTGAAAAGCAAAAGCTACGAAATGGCTTGCATAGCCTATTAACAATATTAACATTATTAACAATATCAACATTCTTCAAGGTAGAACATGCGTGTGGAAAATTACATTGACCTGGATGTAACTCATAAGGTACATACCAGTAAATGGTAACAAAGATAATTATTATTTATCAAAGTTACATAGAAAAGTAGGAATTTTGGGACACCTAGGTCGCAAAAAATGGCCCCCTTCGATACCTACAACTGTCATATCTACAAGTTGCTCTAGACCTATATTAATTGCAAATGAAATATACATCACCAGGAATTCTGGTAAACATTATTATAAATTTGTGGACTGTATATTAAAATTAATAAATGATTACATATATACATTTATATAACAGAAGGAGAATTTATAATCATAACACTCACCAATTTGTCTGGAGATTACTGTGTATCATACTCAAACCCCCCCCCTGTCTACATTTATGAAAAAATTACTGGCCAGAACTCTAAACATAAACATAGACATCTTATCTGAGGTTCCTGGAGCCGTCCTGTCCATCTGCTTAATGCTCATGTTATGCAGGACTGCACATCCAACAATTTCGTCTCCTATATGAGAGGTTTTAAGCCCAATATAACCCCTAGAGCAACGAAAATTGTGCACATTGCACTAGCGTGCTTGTATCACATTCAAAAACAATGGTGTCTCTGGTTCCAACAATGCTTCTCCCCGTCGCTGGTTCCATTTTTCATTTACAAATTAATTTTTATTAAATACAATGTATTACACTAATTTTCATAAAAAAATACGCTGGATTTTTTCGGAAAATACGTTATTTTCAAGCCTATAAGAAGAGGATTTTGAAAGATATCTTATAGAAACCATTTTCGGAAATGGTGTGTATAATGTTGAGGAGAGAAAACTTATACTTGTCAGCCTTGGTTTGTGAGGTTAGTGATGGACAATTGGATGAGGCCTCGAGTTAAGAGCAAACAAAAACGAAAAATATCAGGTACAAAAAAAGAAGAAAAAATCAGGTATAAATTTCGGGCCTCCCTTTGGGAACACCACACCAATAATAATAATAATAATAATAATAATAATAATAATAATAATAATAATAATAATAATAATAATAATAATAATTGCTATTGTTATTATTATTATAAAAGTATTTATGTAATAACAACAACAAATCATCATCATCATCATCATAATAATAATAATAATAATAATTAATATAAGAACATAAGAACATAAGAACATAAGAACGAAGGAACACTGCAGAAGGCCTACTGGCCCATGCGAGGCAGGTCCAAGTCCCTACCGGCTAAGCCAATGCACCCAACCTAGTCAGGTCAGGTCACATTGACTCAAGGGGGAACACGGCAACCGACCCGTTAGCACAAGCTATCAGGTCTAACTCACACCCACCCACATCTAACATGTATTACCATACCATTTTAAAAGCAAACTACGAAATGCTTGAGCTCTATAAACGATATTAGATTTTTCACAATCACAACTCTTACCAAACCATACTTTGCAAATATCTCTGAACCCGATTTCCAACTTAAAACATCTGTGCGAGTTGACAAGATAATATTATCTGCACACTAATTACATATATTATTTTGGACACCTATCCGCAAAATATGCCCCCTTTCCTCTTTCTACAACTGCATTTCAAGGCCCTTAGTCTATCTATTGGAAAAGGGAATTTGATACATGGAAATTTTTTGTCAACCTCCTTATAATTTGTCCAGAGAATATTAAATCCATACTGAATACTATACCTTAAATACAGAAAATCTAAATGAGCTAACCAACCAATTGTATGAGATGTTGAAGCATAACTAGGACCCCCAATGTTCTGATATTATGAAAAGAATTCTATTAGCTTCTTTAACATAATCAACATTTATCTTGGGTTTCAGGATCCGTCCTGCCACCTAAATCTTTTCGCGAATGCAATTAAAATTTACATTATTATAGTTATTAAGCAAGTTATTCCTGCCAACGATAGAACTTTGCATTTGTCAATTAACTGCATCTGCACTTCTCCGACACACACAATGGTTCCATCTTCCGAGCCCAATGTCCCCGTCGGTTCCATTTATTCGACGCAATTTTTGTTAATCAGCAATTGCACGATGTCTCATAAAAAAATCGCTATTTTTTAAAGTAGTATTTTAAGCCATCAGAGAACGAACCTTGTATCACGCTAGACCATTTCGGAATGGATTTCTCCCCATTTGAGGGAAAAATTCTTGTGCCTATTGGTACGGTTCTATGGAAAAATTTAGGCCTCATCCATGGCTAAAAATCAAAAAATCAGGTACCAAAAAGCCTTACAGAATCCATATCAACTCATATTGGAACCATGACTACCTACTAAAATAATAATAATAAAAAAGTTAATAAAATAATAAAGCTAATAATCCATATAAAAATGCTGAATTTTATTAATTTAAAATTTTCAAGTTACAACCTCGCAATTCATTGATTCCATAAATATAAACTATGAGGTTAATTATTAGGTCTAAAAATTCAAGCTAAGTTCCTTCTCTGAATTTGAAAATAATCCCAAATTTACAATACCACTTATCTGGGCCCATGCAGTTTTATGAAATGTGTTGAAAGATACTAAAAGGTGCTAAGCTTTACATTCCTTTAGAACCTGGATCAGCCTCATCGCCTGGAAGCTTTTAAGGATTAATTTCTATTTTTCATAAGGACAAAGTCACGTGCCAATATCACAGTTTTTATCGTTATAAGTACTAAAATTGCTTTTATTCTTGCTTTATGCAAAATTTTTAGAACTGAATCCCCAATTTACAATGCCTAACCAAAATTTTAAATGAGATTAAGCCCTAAACTTGAAGGGTTACATATAACGGGGCTAGGATAAAGTAGAAGGATCAAGGCTCGTCATAGCTGGCATGTACAAACCCAAATAAGGAACAGATCTACATAAGTTTAATGGAAAACTTAATATATTTGTATTAAAAACACATAAGAATATAAGAAAGAAGGAACACTGCAGGAGGCCTACTGACCCATGTGAAGCAGGGTCAGTTACGTTTCATATTTTCTTTCTAGTTCAATTCTATTAACACTATAAACTATATGGAAGAATATTTTATCTTTTTTTTGGAGATCTTTTAAAGTAAGTACAATATGTATATTTTTATATAATTGACACCTACATTGTTCCACCTCAATATAAAATACTTTCGGATGTGATACGTCTATACTTAGAGTTTGAAGCCGATGAGAAGAAGCATTCTCTAGTTTAAAAAGAGAAAGCAATTTGATTTAATTCAATTAGCATGTTATAATTTAGTCAGTAAGATGAATGCCGAGCTTTATGTTAATAAAGCTTTATTTTAATAAAGCTTTATTTTAATAAAGCTTTATTTAAATAAAGCTTTATTTTAATAAAACTTTATTTTAATAAAGCTTTATTTTAATAAAGCTTTATTTTAATAAAGCTTTATTTTAATAAAACTTTATTTTAATAAAGCTTTATTTTAATACAGCTTTATTTTAATAAAGCTTTATTTTAATAAAGCTTGTCATCAACACTGAAAGTTTGAAGCCTATCAGAAAAGGCATTTCCAGTAAGTGATCTGGTTCCATACTACAAATAATAATAATAATAATAATAATAATAATAATAATAATAATAATAATCCTGTAATAATAATAATAATAATAATAATAATAATAATAATAATAATAATAATAGCAATAATAATAATGAAAATAATAACAATGACAGTGGCACCGCAGCGGGTGGTGCTGACGCAGGAGGCAGCAGTACGAGCGGGTGTTACGGAACGCCTGCAGTGTAAGGCTGTGGGAGCCTTCCCGGAAGCTAACATCACCTGGACGCTCAACGGGAAGAAACTCGACTACACTGCTAAAGAGGTACGACTACTCACCAGAAATAATGTTTATATTTTTTCCAGGGAAGTACTAGAGCAGAAAAAAATCAGAGAATAGGAGAGTAATGACCTTGGGACGGAGGAATAGAAGTGTAGCTTTAATTCCAGGAATCAGGAGCTCTTCACTAGGATGTATCAACCCATCATGACACCTGTACAAAAAAATGTTTTGTTGGCCGTATACTGGACAGACATCATTGTAGATTCTGCCCCATTGATCTAGCAGATTAGGTTAGGTTAGGTGAGATTGGTCAGGAAACAGGACAAGTGTTTCCCAAAGCTGGCCATAATCATATGATGACCCGCAGCTGAAGCTTTTGGTCATCTGACGGAGGCCTTCCGCTGGCTTACCGATCCACCCCTTTAAAAATTATGATTATGATTATAACCATCTCTTTGACCTAGCAGTGAATAGATTCCTTTGCATTATTTCTCTCTTGAGAGCGGCATCAGGAACCGAACAAGACATATGTGCCTCTCATTCTACACATACTGTCTTATTTATCTAAGCTGTAAGTGGTAAAGGGATGAGGGTCGCCTCTCCTACGTCTCCCTGGGATTATACCCCCTATCACTGCTTCAGAAATAAGGTAATAAACAGTTATTTTCTCAAGGAATAAGGAAGAGTTTCAACCCCAGGCCAATTGTATGTTCTTGACTGGATGGAGAATACTGATAGTTCGTAGCTATGAGGTTCCTAGGAAAAACTGGCCATCAGAGTACAAAGTACGTTGCAGCTTTGCAGGTTCGAATCCTGCTGTGGACTGAGATATAATGTTGGTAAATAATTTCACCTGTTTGCGAATTGTTAAGCATTTTAAATCTCTTGCTTTCTTCATTGCATATAGAAGGATTTGATGAAATAACTTTGCACAAGCATGGTGATCGGGGTATTGGGAAACATCGTCTAGCTTCGACATGGCGCCCATACTTATTTGGAGTTTGGCGTTGTGGATAACGTACTCTGTACACTGATGCCGAATTTACATGTTCGAATCCTGCTGTGGACTGAGAGATAATGTGAGTAAATACTATATATATATATATATATATATATATATATATATATATATATATATATATATATATATATATATATATATATATATATATATATATATATATATATATATATATATATATATATATATATATCGTGCCAAATAGGTAAAACTTGCGATTTTGGCTTAAACAGCAATACTCTTCTTGCCGAAAAGTGCAAGCAAAAATTTGTGTATGCAATAATTTCGTGAAAAATGATTCTGAATCTAACGAAAAAATATATTTCACTGTGTTTGTTTATTATTAAATTATTGTAAACTTGTCTATAATATATTTAGTTGGATTAAGCTAAATTAAATTGCGCTTGTTATAATATGGTTAAGTAAGTTTTCTAATTTTTTTGGTACAAAATTGTTAATATTTACATTGACATAAATGAAAAAATGTATCTTTAAACGCATAAGAGAAAATATTAGAAAAAAAATTAATTTTAAATGAGATCTTGCAAACTGATATATATATATATATATATATATATATATATATATATATATATATATATATATATATATATATATATATATATATATATATATATATATATATATATATATATATATATATATATATTATACATACATATATATATACTGCGAACAAACGTTATTTGTGTCGAGGACGATCCGTAATACTGACTGGCTCAGTTTTGAAAAAAAAAGATAAAAGTTATCCACGGTAATAACGTTATGTTAAGCCTGAGGCCTTACATGTAAAAACGCACTTGTTGATTGCTCATTCTGCGGTAATTTACCACTGACGCAGCTTACTGACAGGTGCCAGTGAAATTTTCAAATAAATCTTCACTCTTATTAAAACGAGGTGAAGTGCTCTAAATTTACGTAAAACAGTCAATACATAGGCGATTATTTTAGATCTGTTAAACCGTAATCCTGAGCTAAATGGTTCTTACATCCGGAATTGTCAAAAAAATGTTCTTCGCAGAGTTAATCAAATGGTTTCCAATGGACTAAAGGAGAATGTCCCTGAACACTTGAGAGGTACGGTGGGCGCGATGACCCCAGGTTCATCGAAGAAACCACACTGGGGGAGAGCCTTGCAGACTGTTCAGGTAGACCAACTCCTCCCAAAGAGCACAAACATTCCCAGACTGATCATGGAAAAAATCGTCAAAACAGTGCTCAATAACGCTTCAGGAAAGGACAAAATTCATCTCCAAACAGTGAAGGCACCACACTGAGGAGACTTCCTTTTAGCTGTTCCCAGTTCCTCCCTGGGCACTTGTCTCGTATTGGTGTTGCTCTTTGCCTAGCCTCCCCATACTCATCGAGCGTAGGTGTATTTGCGGCAGGGTGTCAGTTGATCAATATGGACTTCATGGTCTCGTGTGTCACACATCAGAATGAAAGCATACTAGACATGAGGAGGTCAACAACATCATCAACAGAAGTCTTGCCATGGGCCGTTGCCCAGCTGAACAGGAACCTCAAGTACTGAGGTCTGACGAAAGTCAAAAGCGTAGTGATGGAGCCACTATGCTACCCTGGAAGGATGACAAGCAGATTGCCTGGGATTAAACGTGTGCCTCTACATTGGCTGACACTACTTGCCATACTCTGAAGCTAAAGGGGATGGAACCGCCTGTTTCAGGGAGACTCAAAAGACGAACAAATACTAAGGGCTACCACCTTCCTATAACACTATCCTAGTAGGGTCAGAGACCTTTGGAGCATAGGACAAGGGTGTTCTAAAATTTCCTAAAGTGTCTGGTGAAAAAACTCATCACAGAAGCCAAGGACGACAGAGCGGCTGGCTTTCTCTTTCAGAGACTCAGTGTTGCGATCCAGAGGAAAGATGCCTGCAGTATTCAGGGTACGCAGCCCACCGCAGGGGAGCTGAATGAAGTATTTGAGATGTAGGCTCTGAGATGTTATTTATGTTTCCAATATATCTTTGTAATGTATTTTGTCTATAAATAAAGTTCATGCACACACACACATAAACACACACACACACACACACACACACACACACACACACACACACACACACACACACACACACACACACACACACACACACACACCTGGAAAGGAACAAGATTATAAATGAAAACCAGCATGGGTTCATGGAAGGCAAATCTTGTATCACAAACCTCCTGGAGTTTTATGACAAGGTAACAGAAGTAAGACACGAGAGAGAGGGGTGGGTAGATTGCGTTTTCCTAGACTGCAGGAAGGCCTTTGACACAGTTCCCCACAAGAGATTAGTGCAGAAGCTGGAGGATCAGGCACACGTAAAAGGAAGGGCACTGCAATGGATAAGGGAATACCTGACAGGGAGGCAGCAACGAGTCATGGTACGTGAAGAGGTATCACAGTGGGCGCCTGTTACGAGCGGGGTCCCACAGGGGTCAGTTCTAGGACCAGTGCTATTTTTGATATATGTGAACGACATGATGGAAGGAATAGACTCTGAAGTGTCCCTGTTCGCAGATGACGTGAAGTTGATGAGAAGAATTAAATCGGACGAGGATGAGGCAGGACTGCAAAGAGACCTGGAGAGGCTGGACATGTGGTCCAGTAACTGGCTCCTCGAATTCAATCCAGCCAAATGCAAAGTCATGAAGATTGGGGAGGGGCAAAGAAGACCGCAGACAGAATATAGGCTAGGTGGACAAAGACTACAGACCTCACTCAGGGAGAAAGACCTTGGGGTGACCATAACACCGAGCACATCACCGGAGGCACACATCAACCAAATAACCGCTGCAGCATACGGGCGCCTGGCAAACCTGAGAATAGCGTTCCGATACCTTAATAAGGAATCGTTCAAGACACTGTACACTGTGTATGTTAGACCCATACTGGAGTATGCAGCACCAGTCTGGAACCCACACCTGGTCAAGCACGTCAAGAAGTTAGAGAAAGTACAAAGGTTTGCAACAAGGCTAGTCCCAGAGCTCAAGGGAATGTCGTACGAGGAAAGGTTAAGCGAAATCGGACTGACGACACTGGAGGACAGAAGGGTCAGGGGAGACATGATAACGACATACAAGATACTGCGGGGAATAGACAAGGTGGACAGAGATAGGATGTTCCAGAGAGGGGACACAGGGACAAGGGGTCACAACTGGAAGCTGAAGACTCAGACGAGTCACAGGGACGTTAGGAAGTATTTCTTCAGTCATAGAGTTGTCAGGAAGTGGAATAGCCTAGCAAGTGAAGTAGTGGAGGCAAGAACCATACATAGTTTTAAGAAGAGGTATGACAAAGCTCAGGAAGCAGAGAGAGAGAGGATCCAGTAGCGATCAGTGAAGAGGCGGGGCCAGGAGCTGAGTCTCGACCCCTGCAACCACAATTAGGTGAGTACAATTAGGTGAGTACACACAGTGGTGCAGACGTGGGGGCACAAGGCTCCGAGAACCTTAGTGTTTTTAAGGAGTGCAGTAACTGCTAGCAGTAATCAGTGGTAGTGGCAACGTCAGTGAACAATCCTACGAGTGATAACTAAAGTTATTAGTTAAAAAAAGTCGAGAGGAAGCCTGAAATCATTAATATTTCAAAGTGCCAAACCGTTGTGGGTCTACTAGGCACTGTTGTCACACAGATTCAAACATACAAAGATCAAAGTGTGTGTGGAAGCGAGTGTTCAAGAATTACCAGCGTTTGGTTAACAAGTGAAATGTGCGGCACCATACAGTGAGTAACGTGGGATGTATGAGCATATATGGTTATAAACATCATGGGTGAAGGATATCCAAAATAGTGATTTAAGGCCTATGTACGACGACTACGTCATCAGCATCTGGCAACTTGTCACCGCACCACTGCCAGCGAAAGTAATCACTCACCTATTGTGGTTTGCATGTTGCAGGCTCTGGCTTCTGGCCTTGCATCACTGTTAGATACTGGTCACTCACTCCTGCACGCTATTACCAGAATTAGAGTAGAAATAGCATAG